TTGAGACATGCTACATCAGTGAACCTTGAAAACATTATCCTAAGTAAAATAAACCAGACACAGGACAGATATTGTATGATTCTATTTACACAAAATATCTAGAACAGGCAAATTTCTAGAGACAAAAAAGTAGATTAGAGGTTACTGGGGGATATAGGAAGGAAGGGATCAGAATTTATTTCTTAATGTTTATAGTTACAGTTTGTGATAATGAAAAACTTTTGAATATAGATAGTGGGAGTGTATGTACAACATTTTAATTTAATTAATATCACTGAATTGCACATCTAAAGATGGGTAGAAGGACCAGTTTTGTATGTACCACAATATTTATTTATTTATTTATTTTTGAGACAGAGTCTCACTCTGTCACCCAGGCTGGAGTGCAGTGGCATGACCTCAGCTCACTATAACCTTTGCCTCCCAGATGCAAGTGATTCTCCATCCTCAGCCTCCCAAGTAGCTGGAACGAACTACAGGTGTGCACCACTAAAAATGCAAAAATTTTTCAGTAAAGATGGAGTCTCACTGTATAGGCCAGGCTGGTCTCAAACTCCCGACTACAAGTGATCCACTTGCCTCATTATATGTACAATTTTTAAATTGCCATTTTTCTATTAATATCATAAAACTGTATACAAAGTAATCGCTATTAATATTAATAATATAATACTTTTTAATAATAGATTACATAAATTTCTCTTGTTTTTCTAACTACAGTCTACTCCTGTATTCCTTCTCCCACCAAGTTAAACAGTCAAAATTCTTTATCCTGATTCTACATTTATTTGATATATGCAGCAATGGTATGCTATTCATTGATCATTCACTGAGTTAAATAATTCACTCCTTGAAATTTCTACAAATGCAAGCCTTGCCTTCAGTTAAATTTATAGGCTCATATAAATGCCAAGGCAGGCATATGAGAACTTTTAAATGTTTTTAAATGAAAATTTTCAGCATATATAAAATAATTTAATGCATTTGTTTATACCTTTATCTTATCAGAGTATCAAGATTTGTCATGCCAAAAAAGTTTACTCCTTTTTTGTTGTTGCAGAAATATTTTGATGCAAGTTCAGTCACATTTAACCTGTACATTTTTCAGTATGCATCTCAAAAAAGAAAAAAAATGACGCTTTCTAATGTAAACTGATGCCATAATCTCACATGTTAAAGTTAACAGTAATTGGGGTCCAAAGTGGCTCCCGCCGGAGGTCATGGCGCTCGCGAAGGTGAGGTCATCAGTTCAAGGCTAACCTGAGCAACCTCATAAGCTCAAACTGATTGGCAAAAAAAAAAAAAAAAAAAAGTTAACAGTAATTATTTGATACTATCTCATACTCTGTCTTTGAGATCGCTTCAATTATGTGTCAAATGAAAATTGTTTGATTTTGCATCCAACCAAATTCTGATTTACATTTATTCTTAATATATTTTAAGCCTTGTTTTGTCCAGAGAGTTGTCTCTTCTTTATTGATGAAGCTGCATCAGTTGTCTTATAAACAATTTTTGTGTCTCAGCTTCCTTACGGTATCATTTATTTTTCTGTTTTCAGTATTAATCTATAATGTAGAGCTAAATGTTTGATTAGATTTAGGTTCAGCTACTTTTGAGTACATACTTGATAGTTGGTTCTGTGTGCTTTATATTACATCACATAAAAAAGCATATGTTTGGTTTTCATACTTATCATGCTAAGGTTGATCATTAAAGTCAATTGGTAATACCTGATATTTTTATTGAAAATTTTATATTAACCTTTCATCTAATGATTTCATCCATTTATGATCTTTACCAACTTAATTTTGTCATTAGGTTTGCAAAAGAGTAATTTTCTAACTCTGTCAATTTTCTACCTCTGTCAAGGTAAGAGGGCTGGGAGCCCAGTGCATAAGTGATGGATCACCTTAGATAGAAACAGGAACTGAATAAGTGAGTTAAGGAAACTGAGTAGCACAGAATGTATTAGATTAAATTTCTATGAAAACTTTGCTATTCAAACTGGTAATCGTATGTAATTTTAGAAACCTGTGCATTTTTGGCATTTGATGTATTGTATATTAAATCAAAACTTAAAGTCATTACAAATAACACTGCCTGTATTTGACATTGCCCCTTCTTATTACACTTTTTGTGATTTCTTAAAAGTGCGGTTTTGAATTAATGGTCTCAGGCTGGGCACAGTGGCTTACACCTGTAATCCTAGCACTTTGGGAAGCCGAAGTGGGTGAATTGCTTGAGCTCAGGACCAGCCTATGCCACATGTCAAAACCCTGTCTCTACAAAAAATACAAAAAATCAGCAAGGCATGGTGGTGCCTGCCTGAAGTCCCAGCTGCTTGGAGGGCTGAGGCATGAGGATCACTCTTGAGCCCAGGTGGTCAAGGCTGCAGTGAGCCAAGATCACTCTCCAGCCTAAGTGACAAAATGAGACTCTGTCTGAAAAAATTAGTTAATTAATTAATGGTGTCTTATATACCTCTATCTTATACAAAATATAGGCATGTACTGTTATGTAACTGGTCTTCATCTCTTGTTGCTAGTTTCCTTCAAAGAGAAGTAAATGCTATTGTTAAGTAAAATGATAAATAATGGGCAGTTTAGTTAGACGCTAATTGAGCTAATAGCCTTTAAAATTACAAACCAGCAACTTTTATGATTTATAGGCTCATTCTTTTAAACATAATTTGGTCATATACCTGACAATCTCCTTTTTTTGTGACTTTTTCCTAAAAATTATGGTTTTGTGTTTTCTGAGTGGAAAGGCCTTAAGTTCAGTAGAAGAATATGACAGCATCTCTTCTGAGGATTATGGCATTTCTGAGTGGTAGATAGAAAATCTCCTTTTTTCTTTCCTTTTTTAATGTCCATAGTTCTAATGCAAATATGTAATTTAATTCTGAAACAATATATGCTGCAGTTGTGAACCTATGAACTATTTTCAAGTGTCCCACGAGTGTCGGCATGTGAAATTTAGCTTTAGACAATCATATTTCTTTGTGGCTCAGTAATTTCCACTACTATCTGTTAGTCTATATAATCTGAAAAGTATAGGGGTTACTGTGTGGTCTGACATGGTATGTATTATCAGAATTTTAATGACAACATAGATTTATAATCTCTTTAGTTATTTAGTGACATGTTTTGTTTCTTTCTTTCTTTTTTTTTTTTTTAAATCAATCTATATTTAAATTAGACTGTTTTGGCATTCACAAAAGAGCACACTGTAGTTTTCTCCAAAAATAAGAATGTAATCTGATCTATGTTTTGTATTGTCTGCTGATTTGGATAAGAACACTGTATTAGCTACATTGATCAGTTCCTATTCTTTCTAGGCATTTATTGGACACTTAATACAACCTTTAAAGACTCCCTAGAGTATTCCCATCAACTAGATCATTTTATACAGGAACCAGAATATATACATCAAGATAGACAAGAATGAGAAAAGCTGATTAAGAGAAACTGGAAAAATTAAATCCACAGAATCACATTGTATTTTTCAGGCTTTATCCACCTTTACAAATGAAAGCTATTGGTACTCTCTGTGGAAATATTTTGTAAAATCCAGCAAAGTTAAATTTTTATAGATTTGAATTTTTATTGTTTAAACATGACAATTTAGGTATATCACTATAATTTTTTCTTTTATTTCTCCTTCTAATTCCTATAATCTAATTCTGTTTTCTACAAGTATTAATGATATTCTTTTAGTATTATTTTAAATTCAAAACTACTAGAAAATAGGTCTGTGTGTCAGAATCTTTAAAGCAGTATAAACTCCTTATGACTTTTTAAATATTTGTAGTTTCACAAATTTGCCCTTTAGAATGTATTTTAAAACATTTTGCAAAGTATCTTGGAATTTTGAAGCAGTAGCACCAAAAGGAAATATGTCAGGTAATTGAAAATGTTTCCATTAATTCAAAAAATCTTTTACAAATTTTAAAATCCCATTCTTTTGGTATTTTTAACAACTGTTTAGAAAAGAAATACTTATTTCTTTGAAGCGAGTTCATATGTTGTGTTAGGTCACTGAGAAGATTACAGTTGAATACCAGGCTTCTGCAATAAGCCTGAAAATCTAATTAATTTTTATTGCCTTAATGTATAACTGTAAAGTATGAAATAGGTGATAAGACCTGTGTATTATACATAACCAATTTTACCTTAGTCTCGTCTTGCATCATATATTTTTATTTTATTCACTAGATATGAAACAAATACTATTAATAATGTCTTTATTAATTACGAATTTCAACTTTCATAAACTAATCTAAATTTCATGTTTAATCCTAATATTCTGTCTTTTTAAGATTATATCATTAATATAGACAGCACTGATTCATTTATCCAACAAATATTTACAGTGTACTCATTATGTGCCAGAAGCTATTGTAAACGTTGAGGATACTACAGCACAAAACAAAACAAATTTACATTCCACCTAGAGCTCACATTCTAGTGAAAAAGTAAAAAATAAACGTAAAATATCAGGTAATGAGTGTTGTTACGATTAAAGGAAGAGTGTGATAAGTGATGTAACAACTCTATCTATGTTGTTACCTCCGTTATTTTCAGATTGTAATGCTTACAATTATCTGGTTTTATGTCTGTTTTTTTCCCCTGAAGAGGAAGCTCTTTGAAAACTGGATTTATACATCTTTATTGGCTTGTTACCAGTTTCTAACCCTAAGTTCTTTTATAAGTACTCATTAAGTATTTGTTATGTGAATAAATCAGTGATATGTTCACAACTCTGGACCTCTGATTCTGCTGGAATCCAAATGCCCTTTTTGAGACTAAAATAACCAAAAAAGAATTTACAAAAGGAATCATGAGAAGAGACATGTATATGTTACGTGTGGTTCAATTAAATGTTTTAAATTAGAGTTCTACAGTTTACATTATTTTTTGGCATTATAATATTCTTTTTCATAGTTTATTTTTAAATGCTAAATATGGAATACTTTCTAAAAATCAGTCTTTTATCCACAGGTACTACTGAGCGAGTGTGCTTGATCCAGGGAACAGTTGAAGCACTGAATGCAGTTCATGGATTCATTGCAGAAAAAATTCGAGAAATGCCCCAAAATGTGGCTAAGACAGAACCAGTCAGCATTCTACAACCCCAGACCACCGTTAATCCAGATCGCATCAAACAAGTGAGTGTTTAGTTGAGAAATCAAAGAGAAATATCTACGGCATAGTGTAAGTTCTTTACAAAAGAAGCCTTAAAGTCTTAGCATAAAACTTTTATTTTAACCATACATAAAACTTACCAGAGTTTTCATTTATTTATTTAAAGACTATCAAGGTGTCATCCTTAGATTGATTAATTAATTTATTGAGTAATTGAATTATTCATTTATTAGTGTTACATTGAGGAGCACTTATGTGACTCTTTGTGCCCTTTTTAAATTTATAGATACAAATTTAATTTATAGGAATTGAATCTATTTAAAATTATATCACTTTTTAAACAAAGTATAAGTATTGAAATGATACATTCAAAATTTCTAATAACCCTATTTTTAGTGATACGTGTAGTTTTCAGGATAGTTATGCATAGAGGATCCTGTTTTGTTAATTTTATTGTCATGTTCTACATTTTTTATCAAAAAAATGTATATAGTAAATTTATGTATCTACCATACAGTCCTTTGTTACAAATCAGTTGTTGTGTTTTGTGTACCTTATGTAGTATTTAAATATATGTCATAAAGGGCCATTGTTTATATTTAATGTATTGGATTTTTTGTAAAAACAATTTTACTTGGGAAAAACCGATGTGAGTTTTTAAGATTGAGTAATGGCTGACATGATGTAGGGGGAAAATGATACTATTTCATGTTAAATAAGGTGGATTCCACCACAGACTCTTTACATCTATATATTTATTTGATTATGTTCATAATTACTGTTTCTACTTTGCCCTTTTATTATTAGTATCTTAATTTGTGGCTTAATTTTACTATCACAGACTATGGCTTCAAAAGAAATGTATTAGTCATTAATTCACAGAATAATTTATAGAATATTCATGTTCATTGTAATAAATTTGAAATGTAGCTCAAAGTCTTATTAATTTCATGTTTCTGAATTGAAAAAATATACTGAACAGTGTTATGAATCGATTATAATTTTACCAATATATAGATAAATATAATGTTGACTAATGAAATAAATATAGAAATTGATAATTAGGCAATATATTTTCAAATTATAGACTAATGTCCAATTTTCTACTAATAACTTTAAAAAATCCCTTTATGTTTAAATCATGAGTAGGTAGTTGTTATTCTATACAAAAATATTCATATTATACTCTTTATCAATGTCAGATGGTTCAGTTTGTATACCCTTTATAAGTCTTAAAAGAAGTATCCCTTAATACATATATGGAAGAATATAAATATTTTAAAGTTGTATCAGTGGATATTTTATTTTTCACAGCCATTTATAGTTGTGTTTATTTTTTCTACCCTCAGTGAATACAAAGAATAGTTTGAAGACCGAATAAAGTAATACTGTCACTTTTTCCAGAGTTTAAAAGTAGGAGTATAGTTAAAGACTTGGGTTAAAATCATCTGGGGCTAAGAGTTTACAGAATAAGCACTGAAGTATAAGTTCTGTTGGCTTTCTGCCTTAATCCATTTTGTAAGTTCCTCCTTTTCTTTTGCAATTTTTCTGAGAACGTTCAGACATTTAGGGATAGAAGCCAACATCTTGATTTTTTTTTTAAAACATAAAATTTAGTAGTATGATACCATTGAGAATATGTTTAGGACAATGATACAAATTTTTATTATTTTTTATAAAAACAAATATACCACCAAATAATGGTCTATAAATCATTGTTAAAATTCCAATTTTCTACATGGCAGTATGAGATTTACAGGCTATCATATATCCAGTGCCAGTACAGATTTATAAAGAGTAGGATTTTAAATTATTTGCTTTATTTTTATTTTCCTTTTTTGGATAATGTTATTCGAATTCAAGTTAAGCATAAAAATAATAGTGATTTATTTGCTTTTGTGTATTTGCATCCATTTGTGAGCCTTGTAGGTATTCATGGAATTAAAACTATTGTTGGTTATTTAATATTTTTATGTAATCGGTAATGTATGTGACAGTATGTCATTTAAAAGGATTTATTAAAAAGACAACACTAAATATAACAGAACATTGTATTTAACACTTACATATTTTCTTTATATTATAAAAGTTAAAAATTTTACTTAAAAAATCTAGTAAAGTGGTGAAAGGTATTTCCAAAATATTATAAATCAGTCAGATCTTTTGCTCTAAGTTTGGGTTCTCTGGCTTTCTAGGTATCCAGTTTTACCAATGTAGTACTCTTTGCTGGATTAATCTCTGAATAATAAGTATATAAAGGACCATAATTTTATTTCTGAAAAATTATGCTGTTATTCAGTATAAAATAATTATGTCTAAAATTTTGCAGTGGAATAGATTGAAATACATTTTGTATGATGCTTTTGTATGTTTTAAACTAAGTAAATTGAATGAACCAGATATTTTACCCAATTGAAAACTGCCCTTATTGACTTGAGGGTGTTCTCGAACAAGTGTAGTTTCTTGAGAAAGTAGTACCTACTGGTCTCTCAGGTCTTTCATATAGTAGAATAATGAAATTCAGCACAACAGCCTTAAATATAACTTGACATATTAGCTTTTGTGGAATATTTAATTCTTAATTCATATATGTGTTTTTTTCTAAAAGCTACATCAGGAAAGAAGTGGTTATGGATGTTTAAAGATTCTCTTGTATTTTAAAGGATCAAAGTAAGATATAAAAAATATTTCATTTAACCCAAAGAACTTTACTGTCATCATGACAAATTGACAAAAATAGCACTTGTTAATTTGTTCATTATTCATGGACATGAATAATTATGAATTTATTAAATGCCTTCTTAGTAACGAGCAAAATAAACTAAATTGTAGCCCTTGCAGACCAGTTTGTGAGAATAAGTACTTAAAATGACTTATAGAAATGTAAAATTGTGTTTATATACCAAAACTACAATGGAAACAATATGCTATAAAAATTCAGAGGCCTGGCCAGGTGTGTTCCCTCATGCCTGTAATCCTAACACTTTGGGAGGCCCCGGTGGGTGGATTACCTGAGGTTGGGAGTTCAAGACCAACCTGACCAACATGGAGAAACCCCTGCTCTACTAAAAATACAAAATTAGCCAGGCGTGGTGAAGCATTCCTGTAATCACAGCTTCTGGGGAGGCTGAGGTAGGAGAATTTCTTGAACCTGGGAAGCGGAGGTTGCCGTGAGCCAAGATCATGCCATTGCACTCCAGCCTGGGCAACAAGAGCGACACTCTGTCTCAAAGTTAATTAATTAATTAAATAATTCCAAGGCCTGTAAAAGAAATACAGGCTAGAGTGACAGTTAATAATCTTGTAAATAGGTGAAAACTTGACTGGACCTTGAAGAATGTACAGGAATAAGCTAATTAGAGAAGAAGAAAGAAAAATACTTTTTTTTGGAAGGTGAAACAATATGAATTTGGGGAAAAGGATATCATATTTGTTGAATAGTAAGGAGACTGTTGGCAGAAGTGGAACATTTATGTTGGAATTGAGAGGGAATTAATGTTAGATAGATGATTTGGAGCCAGATAATGAGAAACCTTGGATGTCTGGTCAAGGGACATCCTGTGCAATACAGATTTGCCTAATATTTTTCTAAGGAGCCCTTTTAATTAATCTGGAAGGTTGTGGGGAAAAAAAGAAGAAGAAGAAATCACTAATGCAGTTTGTTCTGTCTTGCACTAAAAATCGAGACAGACTCTTAGGGAGCTTGTAGATACAGCTATTCATAGGAAAAGAGAACTGTGAATTGACTAGTTCAGATGCTGCAAGACAGTTCAAACGTTGGAAAAAGAGGAGAATATTTGTCAGAAATTAAAAGCTGAAGATTACAGTTACATATTTAAATATTTCATTCATTTTTAAATGGTACAGTATACAGATTTATTTAACAGAACTCAAAGTAGGGGTTTAGGAAGGTGATTACCTCAGTAATGTTACTTCACTAGTAATACATCTTGAATTACAATTGATATTTGTTGTTCATTGCTATTTTCACTTTGCTATAAAATATCAGAGATTCTTGACAGTCTATTACTTCAGACTAGCTTGAAAGCAAGCCCTGTTTATTACAGTGTTTATTAATAATATTCTCTGGCCCAGCAAAACTGTCATTTGTTAACAAGAATCATCTCATAATTTGTAATAACCTTGTACTTATTTCCAAAAGCCTAGTTATATCTACATTTAATTACCTATAGTTAAATTCTTGATTTAAAAAAAAAAAACTACATTTCAAAAGGTCCATGGTTTTAAATTGTTAATAATTTTTCTGCAATAAGTATTTTCACCCTTCAGTGTTTAAAGAATTCTTAAATAGCCATTCAAATAATATAGAGAAAAAATATATTATGCTTTTCCATTTGAAAGAGAAAATGGTGCTAAAAATGACTCTGTCCTTCATATTCATTATTTGAAAAATGTTAAAAAATATTGTAGGAATGTGTACTTTGTTCTAACTATTATATCAATATATAATATTATGTGGATATTCAGTTAATTACATATTCATGATGTATATCAGAAATTTCACTAAAGCGTATTTAACATGAAACTACTGAACTTTAATTAACTCTGCACAGTAAATGGATGTAAAAGTTTATTTATAAAATGTTAAGGGACAGGCCAAGTGCAGTGGTTCTTGACAATAATCTCAGCATTTTAGGAGGCCAAGGCAGAGGACTGCTTGAAGCCAGGAGTTTGAGACCAGCTTGGGCAACAAAGCGAGACACTGTCTCTATAAAATAATAATGATAATAATAAAATAAAATATTAAGGAAATAAACAGTTTGTACATTTATATTGTACATTTAAATATTTCTTATTGTTTTTATCATAAGAAATCTATATAGAAATCTATATAGTTTTATCTATATGATTGAGAACAATTATCATACTGGTTCCATTAACTTAATAATCATTTACATTACAAGTATTACTTTAACATATTTACATTTACCTATTTATGAGAACATTTTTTTCCTAGTATTTAAAAAAATCAACTGAAATGAAATTTTCCAGAATATTTTTATTGTTGTAAATTGAATTTACAAAGTAGGTGTCCTTTTGTGCTTAAAAATATTTATAAGACTAATAGTTGAAAAACTCATCACATCTTTATTTCATTACATTTTCATTATTTTAAGACTTTAAAAAATATATTTAGAGACAGTTTGCTGTGACATTTCAAGTTTTACAACTTGAAACCCAAACTTACATAATTTTTACTTGTCTATTAATATATTAACATGTAACCTCTTAACAGATTATGATGTTTACCAACCAAAACCTTAATTATCTAAAGCACATTGATATTGTCTAGAAGTTTAAAATCGTTGATTTTATTCCTGTGGCAAAGAAACAGTATCACAATTATTAAGGACAATTTTTATGAATGTGAGTTATATTAATTATTAATGCATGTTCAATATTTCATATGTATGCTAAGCAAAAAGAAAGGCAATAAAAATTGACAGAAGATCATATTAATCTAAGTGATTACAAATTCTGAGCCATTTAATATTTAATTTTTATATTTATTAAAAGTTTAATTTGTGATTAAACTTTTTCTACATAGTTCTTTGCAATTAAGACCTTGTTGAGACTTTGTATCCAAGACAAGATGAAGGTCATATTAAACTTAATAATACTTCAGAATGATTTTCCATTAGATAGTTCTTCTAATGGAAGTAGAAGTGCTCAACATACATAGAATTGTGCATCTTATAGATTAATCAACATGGATTCTAACCTATATTGGGAGAAATGACCTCCAGATTTATTTAACATGTATTTAGTCACCAGCCTCATTATTAATCTGAGATTAGTACCAAACAGATTTTTACATGTATGATAACTCCTCCTAGGTATCCTCTGTAGTAACACTTGTAACCAGTTGTAGAAAAATTAAACCTTTACTATCAATTCGTAGAGCAAATAGTAGCATGGAGTCATTAGCACATGTCTCAGCAAAGTATTGCGTGGGAAATAAAACATTAGGGAGATTTTTAATGATTGAAAATAAAATTTCTCTTGAGAAATAGCAAGAATTAATCATAAAAATCAAAAATAGAAAATGAAAGATTGAAAACTTTAAAAATTTTGAGGATTTACTGATTATGGTAGCTCACCTACCTCCTTTTTTATATGATTTGGTAAAAATCTTGGTTTGACTCACTATTAGGTCTAGGTTTCCTAGAAGTATTAGGTTTTAACTTTAAAAGAATCAGGAATTATTTGAGGAGTGGACTATATAAAACATGGTATGAAACCAGTCTTATTTTGTTGTTGGAGGGCAGTGAGTTAACCAGAAGCCTGGGAATTTCTTAATCTTTTTTTTCTCTTAATGACTTTTTTGTACCCAAATAACTTTTGAAATATTAAATACAAAAATATTACTTCAAGTAATTCTGCTTTTCCTTTCACTGCTGAACCTTTAAAGTTATGCTTTTGCTCATATCTGAGTAATTTTGACAAATATATATTAATATACAATATAATGTCCATATACAGTTGTATTTTTAGTATAAAAACCCATCCCATTTCACCCGTTTAGAAATTTTATCTATTGAGGATGTAACATAAGCAATGCTATTTTGCTTAGTAAACATATGACACTTAAAAAAATTCTTAACATCTTACACTTTAAGGTTTTTCTATCAGACATAAGAACTTTAAAAAATATCTTAATGAATTGTTCAACATGTGTAGATGGCCTTATACAACATATATGTTTAGTAAGTGTATATGTTTAGAAGTGAAGTGAACAATAAATATGATTCCTAAGATTTTTGTGTTTATTTTTAAAACAGTTGATGATGCTACAATATATATATGGTCTTCATCTATATTAAATTTACTCTTTAGGAAAATTGCTAAAAATATTATGATAATTTTTAAGACTGCTTTTAGTTACCTGTTTATTAATATGAGGTTAATGTTTACATTTTCAGACGGGCCCTAAATTTATTAAAAATTAATATTTTAGAAGATAATATGATATTAAGAACTCAGAACTTCAAATTTAATTGCTTTTAAGTATGGATCCCTAAATTCATGTGGAATCAACTTGTTGGTGATGTTCAACATATTAAGTAGGTGGATACTTTTATGCCAAAGTAAACTTCATTTCACCACTTCTTCAAATCTCCGACTGTATTCATTGATAGGAAAGTGACTCTTTTGGTTTTATTCATTGAACTTCTTGAAATTTTTTTTTAACATCTCTTTTCCCCAGAAAGCAAGAGGGAAAGAAATGAAACTACTATTCATGAATATGGTCAGGATACTTTTAGTACTCATGTGAATTTTTATTAATCACCATCATGATTTCAAGTCATGAATTTATTTTTACATGCTTATGCATGCATGTTTACATGCATTAGTTACTTAATTGATCTTAAAATCCATTAAATCCAAATGAGTAGGAGAAAAATTTGTTCATAGGATTTTGTTCTCGTTATATTACATTTTATTTTATTTTGTTTTATTTAAATAATCAGTTTAAGGCTTATAAAGGTTGATTTGCTCCTGAACTGCTTTGTTTCCCAGACATTGCCATCTTCCCCAACTACCACCAAGTCCTCTCCATCTGATCCCATGACCACCTCCAGAGCTAATCAGGTACAGTATCATCCTGTCATCTACACCATACTTTTCACGGGTGATTGCCTGCAAACTGGAGAAAAAGATAATGGTGGGTTAAGGATTTATTCGTTCATTCACATATATGCACCATAATCAGATTCCAAATAACCTAAGAAAGAAATATCAATTATTTCTAAAATTTTATATGCAGTTTTAATTTTAGATAACAAAAACTATATTCAGATATTAAACTACTAGAATTTTTTTTTCCTGAAAATTGTGACTTCCCAATGGGGCTCTGAAGACTATTCATTGAATTGGTATTTTTAATCTCCCTTATTGTATCTTCCTAGAATTCTTCATATGTAAGTTAAGGATATCATATATGTTAAAAATAAATGTATAAATTGAGCAAAGGTATATCTTTAGTAGTGGATGCAATTTTCTTTGCTTTTTATTTGAGACATGCCTTACTGTATAAACAACTTTAAACTATTGATGAAAAGCATTTCTAGCAATCTAAAAGAAACTGAAAATTGATATTTGTGGTAATTTTAATGTTTAACAACTCAGGAGATGGTGTTTTCATAGTACTTAAAAAAATTCTAGCATTTCCATTGATTGACAAACTTTACAAGTAGAATATATTTTATTAGTTGATTTTATGATTGTTTTGATACTATCTGTAGGTCATTCTTCAAAAATGTAGTTATTTTTGAAAAATACAGGAAGATTATCTAAAACATTTATGTAATTCAGAATCATATTGTAATTTGACAAATGTTGAATAATATATTAAAATTATTAAACACATTTTTATTTTGTCTGAGTTGAGCTTCATTTAGGTGAGAAATGTTACTTTAATATTTTTGCTTTTTTAATAATACAAGGCTTTATGGGTTTATTTAAATATTAAACAAAAGCTTATCTGTTGAATGTATTTTTCATATAGTTGACTAACAAATTATTAAATTTGAGCTATATTTTCTAAATATATTAAATGTGGCCTTTACATATTATCTAATATAAGGCTATCAGAACTATTTTGCTGATTGATCCTAATACTTCTGCAACTTGAAGAAAGATTTAAATATAATAACTGGAAGCAAAACTTTTATTTAGGATGATATTTTATACTACAGGTTTGATGTTCATTTTATGCAATAATGTTCCCTTCAAACAAAAGTAGTTTATAATGCAAACATTTTTAGGCCCAATAAATTGGTTAGTAAAGTACACATCTCCAGTGATAAAACCCAGCACTTCTCTTTGAAGGAAATGGTACTACATAAAGTGAGAACCAAGCTTGTATTACAAATGCATGAAGTTTAAAAATATACTTACATTTTCACTCCACATACCTTATCTTTTACAGAGCTTTAATTATATAGTATAAAAACCTTTTAGGAAAACAACTGATTTTATGTTTTTAATATTTCTTTTGTACTTTATCATTCTGTCTTTTCCAAATGTATACATGAAAAACACTACCACAATAAAAATAAAACTAATGATTTTTCTTAGAGTAAAAAATCCTGGATCTAAAAAAGAAAACCTTCTTACTAATTTTGCCTTTGAATCTAAATTTGTATTTTCTTTCATTTATTCTTATATGAGCATGAGAATCTTTATAAAATGGTTTTTAAAGGTGAATTATGTATTTAAGTTACTAATATTGTATTTTTACTCTCTAGATAAAGTACCTTTACCTCTGCCAAATCTAAATTTTCCTATTTTGAAATAATAAATCATTTGTAATTTTATATTCTGTCCACTATACTCTGTTACACTGTTACTTATACTCTGTTTTCTTCTGTTCTTGTACAAAGAAGCATAATATCTCCTGGATATCATGAAGCAAGATATAAGAGAAGAACAAAACAAAATCCATAATTCATTGAAAGAATTGTAATCATCAATCTTTCATATTATTAATAGTTTGTAATTATTTTATCCCCAACAGTATGTTCCAGTAGATTCTAATCATGTAGCAGGGCAGAAGGAAATGTATTTTTTGTTGTTCATTTGTTTCTTGTCAATAGTCTCAATTAATTTAGCTTTGCTATACTGACTTATATCTGAAAGTGTATAACCAAGATAAGAAAATAGGTTCTAATATGACCATCTTAAGCTAATTGTAATAAAAAGAACAATGGATTGTCAATATGCAGAAAACCAAAAATAAAAAACACAGAGGAATTGAATACAAGGAGTTAAGTTTGAGCTGCATTTCCAATATTTAAAAATATTTTTTATTCCTTTTAAAATGATGACATGTTTTAGTAAATACTGAATTTTACTTTCTTAATCTTGAGACCCCTTAACACATTTCCATAGGTTAGACTGACAGACTCTGACTACAATGTTGTTATATAATAATTTCCTCCTTAAAAGCGAAAGACTGTCATATAAGAAGCCTTATAAAATGATGGTTAAGCCCAGGCATGGTGGCTCCCACTTGTAATTTCAACACTTTGGAAAACTGAGGCAGGAGTATCGCTTGCCTCAAGACCGTGTCTCTAAAAATACATATATTTTAAAAATTAACTGGATATGGTGGCACTTGCCCGTAATCCTGGCTATGTGGAGGCTGAAGGAGGAGAATTGCCTGAGTCCAGGAGTTCAAGGCTTCAGTGAGTCATCACCATGCCATTGCTCTCCAGTCTTGGGCCTTACCTTAAGTCTCAGTTTCCAATCTGTGAAATTCAAGTAATAATTCATCATAGGGTATCCTAAGAAAGTGTATAACCTTTCTTATGTCAGTTACCTCTTCTTAGAACAGTGGGTTGAATGTAATAAGCATCATATAAACGTTAGGTTATGTTTATTTAGTTTCTTAAACATCTGTCAAGTGATGATAAAGATTATTCTTTAACAGTAAATAATAAAGTAAATGGCTTATTAAAGCTTTTGAGTTTTGTCTTTAGAAAGTTGTAACAAGTTGTAACAGTTTTACAACTTGTATTTCTGTGCATGTGTTTCATATTGTAAGATACAAGTTTGATTATTTTTCTACACTTGGAATTTTAAATATGAAGCAGATATAAAGATATAGTAAATAGATCAAATTCTTTTTTTTTAAATTTATTGATTTAACTTTGGGTGCATACTATATCTGGCATTTCTCCCCACGTTATCCCTCTCCACCCTCCCCTCCCTTCCCACCCCCCACTGTTGCTCCCCTGCCTACCCCAACTGCTCACAGTGTGTGATGCTCCTCTCCCTGAGTCCCTATGTTCTCATTGTTCAACACCCACCTGTGAGTGAGATCAAATTCTTTAAAGCAACATGTTTAAACTTGCAAATAAAACTTAAAAAAACAGAATCAGTAGCATTCAATCAATTCTAAGTTATTAATACTAGGTTACCTAGTCACTCCATTAAGATTCAACAAAATGGTTTTGCTAATCTATCAGTGGTACCAAAAATTAAATTCTGGTTTTAACGTTAGGGTCCTTGTTGTTAGCTCTCCTGGAATTTTTCTGAAATTTCATGAAAAGCATAAAAAAATGATTTTAGAAATATTTGTTTATAAACATTTGTTTATTTACTGATAAGTTTGAAATTATATAATAAACATTTATCAAGATGTATAAAACACATGAAAATAAGTAACTCGTATATAGCACTCTTACTTTGGTTGCAGATAAATAAACATAACTGGTCTCACTTTAAATTCATGTCTACAAGTCTCAAATAGATTCTTAATTCTGTCATTCACAAGTTCATTCACCTTATTTTCTAGGTGACTATTTCACAAGTTCTCCTCTCTTTTCAACCCTGTATTAGTTAATTTTCTATTGCGCAGCACACATTTATTTTCTTATAATTTCTGTAGGTCAAAAGCCCAGGCATGACTTAAGCCAGGCAGGCTGAGCCCTTTGCTTGTGATCACAGGGCTGCAATCAGTGTCAGATGGGCTGCATTCTCATCTAGAGGTTTGACTAATGTGCTTCCAAGTTCATCCAGGTTGTTGTTGGCAGCATTCAATTTTTGTGTGTTTTTTTTTAACCTGTCTGGCTGAGGGCCACACTTAAACTGGCTATTAGCTATAGGCAACTCTCAGATTCTAGAGACCACCCACAGTGGCCTGCCACATAACCCTCTCCACAGGGCCTTCAATACCTGACTGTTTGTGTCTTGAAAGGCCAGTAAGAGACTCTCTCTTCATTGTGTGCCAGCAAAAATGGAGTCATGTATTGAATAAAATCACAGGAGTAACTTTCATACCTCCTTTACCCTACAACGTAATTTAATTATGCTAATGACATTAGATCACTTTTGCCATATTCCTATAGTTAAACATGTGTCCCAGTCGAACTCAAGGGGAGAAGATTGTATACATTGTAACACCAGTGTTTAGAGATCATGGAGTCTTCCAAGAATTGTCCCAACCACAACCCCCACAATGTTTCTTGCTTCTTTTTCTCTCCCAGCTAATGACCTTCCGACTTCCCTGAGAAAACTGAAGCAATCAAAAGTGAACTTCCACAAACTCATATTAACAAATACTTAATGAAGCAAGCAGCATTTATACTCATGTAGTCTGCCTTCTCATCAATTACCATACATGAATTTTCCCTGCTCTTGTCTAAAACCATTCATTTTACTTATCCATTAAACCTCATTCTTCCTTTACTCAAAAAATTCCTTCAGCAATTCTACCTTTTCTCTCTTCTTTTTCTGTCAAGTTTTTGCTCTCTACAGATTCATTCCTATCAGTGCACAGCTATTTTTCTCTCATCTTAGAAAACCAAGCAAAACTTTCTTAATATCACTTCTCCCACCAGCTAATGCCCTATTTTGTCTACGCCTTTGTATTAGAACTTACAAAAGTATTGTCTCTATTCTCTAGCTTGCAGTGTCTGTCTTCCCATTCTTGAATCCACGTCAGTCAAGTTTTTTCCTCCACCATTCCATCAAAACTCTTTGCCAAGGACCTCAATGATGACTGCTTTGCTAATTCCAGTAGTCTGTTCTTAGTCTACGTATTACTTTGCCTACCAACAATATTTGTTAAAATGTATGACTTCCAC